CGAGCCACCACGTATCAGGACGGGCGCCTGTCGAGAACTGGTACAGCGAAATAGGTCTTTACCCTTTCGGTCGTGAACCTGCTAACCTCAGTGCCGGTAAGTTAATTACGTATTTAGAGTCGTTTCTTTCCCCCATGAACTCTTTGAGACCGAAGCTCATCCGAATAATATTTAAGAATTCAGTCCGTACCGCGAAGAAAACACAAGACTTCACCATTACAAATATCAATTGGTTAAGCTTTATCTCACCTGCGTTCCTTGTCGGGAACGTAAGTTGAGTACTCAGACCTACGAAGTAATAGTTGTTTATTCTGAGAATCTCACGAATTTCGTAAATACAAAATGAAAATTTAATGATTGGTACCATTGGGTTAACGCCCACTGACGTATTTATTAATAAGATTTTTTTTATCCAAATGTACGTGTGTCTGAAAGCATAAATATAATGTTTATATTATTTAAATATCGTTAGAACGCTGGCCTTGTAATCCTGGGGTCTCGGGTTCGATTCCCGGCGGTGCCAGAATTTATAACTTGTGTTGGGCAAGGCCGTGGTCTAGGCAACACTATCGGAATATTTTGTTTCCTTTTCCATAATGTTACTTAGCTTTTAAGGTACCCATTCTTAAATGCTACCAGTAATATTTAATTTGTATTTATTCCGTGAGTCGGACTGTCATCAAAGACTTTTCCAAATTTTAGTTTTCTTAAATATGTCATATTCTATTATGACGTTAAAAGTAAAAGCTTTTGATTTTAATAATTATGAAGTTATTTACTGGACTGGTGTTTGCCGTATGATTTCAGGTCACTTCAGCCAGGTTGTCTGGCGGGACAGCAAAGAACTCGGAGTTGGATTTGCAAGAAGTCACGATGGGAAAATATTTGTCGTAGCAAATTATTCTCCACAAGGAAATTATGTTGGCAGACATGCTCAAAATGTACCACCTCCTGTGTAGATACGCGCTGTAGCAGAAGGCCACGGCAAACTTAGAAGGGTCAAATCTTTACATTGGGATGTGTTAATATCTTAAATCCTATTATTATTCACAAATTTTAGCAGCTCGTAATTCAATCGCGAACATCACTTATTATGATATGACACCTCTCTCGCATAATGCATTCAAGTCTCTCCCAGAAAACATTATCTAGTAAATTTTTCACATCATGAAAACATTTTTGTTAAATGCAATATTTGCATTACTACATAAATTCTCTTGAGGTGTCGTCTGATTTGAATGCGAGATTCATATCCTGCAAAATTATATAAATAATTTACGATCTTCTCTACAACAAGAATATTTAATTCTTATCAATATATAATCATTCCAAAAGAATATATATAGATGTAAGTCCTTTGTTCATAATTAGATGATTTATAAAAAAATACAGAGCTTATTCAGTCGTAGCAAAGTACGCAGACCGAGGGCTTGAAGCTGCAATGAATGTACTTTCTGTTAAAAGTATTAACTATAGCAGAGTCCTGATAATCTGACATTTTTTAACCCAACGTGC